TCTCTCCCACAGTAGCTTTTTGTTGATAGTGTCTGGTCAACGGATCCAAAGTACTATGCACAGACAGCTGTTAATAAACACTTGTATCTTCTGTATGATGGTTTTCGTAGTTCTCCAAGTTTATACCCCACACAGTAAAACTGTCCTGATATTTGTATTGAAAATTCTGACTTTGATATTGGTTGATAGTTATTTTGAGTTCCATATGTTTTTCAGTTGTAAATATGCTGCTCTTGCATTGCCGATTTACGCCTTCATATCTGCATCAGATCCACCGCGTTGAGACCTACTGCTTCTGAGGCTGTTGCTACACTGGTCGTCTTCTCCTATGTTTGTTATTTTGTGTCCACTGAATTCCATGCTTCCCCCTTAGACATTGACGTCTTTATGATCCAGTCGATTACCAGGATCTCCATCATTGAAATAGATATCATCTTATACTTTCTCCCTATCGCTTACACAACTTTAACTTATCCATACACAAATTAAATACTATAAACATTAAACAAACACATGTGATCTATTAACTTTTTTCCAGTTCATTGAACATATATTTCATGAAGAAAAAAAACAATTTTACTAATAAGGCATATTTTTAAGAAAAGAAAGTAGGAAACTTCTTTTTTTCTTTTCTTTTTTCTTTTAAAAATAATTGCGTAATATAAAACAATAGATCATTTGGGGGGGATTAACTTGTGAACGCACGTGAGATACTACAAATAGTTACTATGTAGGATATTTCAGTTTTACACCTTCTGTTCTATCATCAATTTCATAAAGGCGAATGGTTATTTTTTTCTCCGTGAACTTTATTAAACGTAAAGGAGTAGCAAACCCCTTAGATAAATTAAAGCGACTTATGTAATAAGTCCTTTGTACAACCTAATGATTAATGAATAGATTGTTATTATGTTACAATTCCTTAAGATATAATCACTTACGTCAAGTCTATGTGTTGTGAGTTTAAGGTCGGCTAATTATCATGTGATTTATTCGTCAATCGAAATACGACTTATTCAATCTTAGTATTGTGCTTAATCAATAACGTTCGATTGGTATGAGCAGCCTAGAGTTCTTATTAGTCCTTTTCCCTTTTAGCCTTGCCGATTGAGTTCAAAACACTAATACCAGCTTCCACTATGCGAATCATTTATTTCAAACATACTTGGTCTGTATACCAGCCAAACAGACCGTATCACACCATAAAATAGGAAATAACATTTATACAAAATCAACAGTCGTTCCTTCCCTGTGGTGCATAGCTGTCACATGGCTGAGATGGTTCCAACAAGAAAGCATGACCTCTAGAGTTCCACCATGTAAAGTATAAGACAGTTAATTAAATATTCCCTGTTATTGACCAAAGCCGTCAATCAGAAGCAGCGAATTATCGATTGGACCAAGGATGAGTAAAACACATGCGAGCAGCCTACAGTCCTGATTAGTCCTGCTTTCCGCCTAGCTCAGCCAGTTAACTCCCGAACACCAATCTCAACCTATGAGATATGAATCGTTTATTTTAAACATACTGAGTTTATATACCAATCAGACAGACCACATCACACCACAAAATATAAAATAACATTTGTACAAGATTTGGTCAAATGTGGATGTGAATATGGGAGGCAGCGACTAATAGACAGGGCATAATTCAAGAATGAAAAATCATATAATAACAGTTTATAGGTTAAACTAAAGCTCATAATAAGAGGGATATGAATATGAATAGTTTAGTTATTTAACAATTATACGATAAAAATGTACGTTTAGTATTGGTCCATAAACGGATCCCAAAAGTTACCATCCATTATGTTTCCCGAATCCTAACATTCCCGATAAGTGATATTTATAAAACTGTTCCTGTTCTTTAATATAACGCACGAAAAACACAACAAGCAAATGAAAACTCATCGTATCAACTAGTATCTTCCCCAATATATCACATAATTGATTTATTTCACTTTGTTGTATCGAACCAGGTATCAAAGATAAAATTATATGATCATTACTCATGATAAATTATACATTCAAAGAAACATTATTCATTTAGATTGAATATAAAATACACTAAAATTAATGTTTATCAATAGTTGTAAGTAGTTTTGATTAGTAGTACAATGAAATCACTTGAAATATCATTAGAATTTTGCTTTAGTTAAAGAAATGTGATGAATAGACATTTTAGATAATTAATTCCTATAATTATGGATAATCTTGACAATATACTCTATAGATCTTATCATGATTCATAATACTAATGATTCATATTTTTTTATGACACATAATGTTGTGAACGAGGACACAAGTGGGGATAATCAAATGTATTTTGAACATACAATCAATTGTCTCCAACTTGATTGTTCTTTTTGCAAATATCAGTCAATGATTTCAGACTTCACTGTTTTTGTATTTTCATACTAATTGTTTTCTGTTCCTGTTTTTTTTCTTTCTCAATGTTCTGCTACCAGACATTCTTATCTTGACTATCGTTATATACTACTCATATCGATATAAGTAGCATACATCACAATAATACATATAAAAACGGACAGATTATATAAATTTCGAGAAATACTCAGAGACTACTTATATTTTAGTCAATATCAGTCAGTCAGTTAAAATGTGGTACCAGGCACTTCCCAGATTTTAGCTAAAATCTTAGTCAACCTAATCGCTAAAATTAGACCACTATACTTAAAGACCTCTGGAGCCAATCCATCTGGACCAGTTGCTCTTCCTTGTTTCAGATTAGTTATAGCCTTTTGGATTTCAACGAGAGTCGGGGGACCTACTTCGATGTTCCATTCACACTGTCTGGAAATGATGGGTAGTTGTAGAATAGCTGAAGGTCAGTTGAATTACTCCTTAAAGTGTTCCGCCCATTATTCTAAATACCTGAACTAGAAACAGATAAGACTGTCTTCTTTTTCCGAGATAGTCTCACTTACACTTGACTTTTTAGTTCCATTTTCTTGCATGAGGCTGTAAAGCCGTCTTGTGTCAATATCAGTCACTATATATATATGACTTTTTATTTAATGATTTATAAATCTTATATCCAACTAAGTTTGTATATTGCTTAAAATCCCTTTCCCGCCCCCAAAAATACCAATCTATTGCTATGTAATTTTTTAACAGTTTTCCATCATTGTTCATTGTATAATGATAACAATAATAATACTAATAATAGTAATCAATGATAACAGATCACTTAATGAAAACCAAATATTTGCCCTAATAATCTATTGGTTATTAAACTTGTAAAATGTAACTCAAATAGTTTAGCACAATCACACGATCATACACACGCGCACCTACACTCACACACGCACACACATATACACAAAAATATAGATTTCAATGTTTGTTTCTTTATGTAGATATTCTTTTCAATATTATAATTTATGTAAATATTGTCCATATTATCAGATAGGGTGTTAATTAAAAGTAATTTGCTTGTATCCAATATAATTTATATTATTATTCTTCTACTTCTAACTGGATTATTAAATGATAATGTTGTCGCTAGACAACCTTGAAAAACCTGAAAGTAATAGATGGCCGTTTCGTCCTATTGTGGGACTCCTCAGCAGTGTGCATCAATTGAGTTATAAATTCAACTATAAAATAACGAATATCTTTACAAAACCCCTTCTGATGAATGATAATGACTTTAAATGAATAAATAAAACATATGACTATATGAATATATCTATGGTAATTCGTGAATAAATTGTATCAGAAGAAAGTGTGTTTGTTAATCATGAACCCATTAAAGTTAGACAATCATAGAAAATATAGAAGCACTGAAAGGGTTCAAATCCTGAGGGTGTGATCGAGAATGCGCATTGCTGAAGAGTCCCATACCAGGATGAAACGGTTGTCCAATGCTTCCAGGTTTTCTATGGTGCTCTAGCGTTAATTGACTTATAAATGACTATTTTTTTATTTCATTAAAGTGAGAATTGTGATAATTTCTTGATGTCATTCATTAGCAACCATAGTGTAGACTAGTGATGGAAGAGAATTTGATCATTTCGATAAACAGATATGACAAAAGATGTTAGTGTAATAAAATAATCACAACCCTAATTTAAATATCATTTGTTTCAATTCATATGATTAAGTAAATAGCTCTAATTGATCGAAAATCATAAACAAAGACGTTAATATCCATTAGAGATTAACAGATCAAACATCAATGAAGGATATGTAGTACAAACAAACTTTTCACTTTATAAAAGCTTCACTTTTTACATGGATTATGAAGATTAGATGATTACTTTGTTTCAAGTTCACATCAGATTGTGAATCATTTACAGAAACAAAGTCACAATAGACATAACTTCTTTTTCATTGAACAGTTTCATAACTATGCAATCTAACAAACTAATCATGAATAGAACGCAGGATTTGTGCATTTCACAATATAGACAATAACAATTTTTAATACCGTATAACAATTAACTAGGATCATTGGTAAGTATATCCTCATTCATGTGATTGTTGGGTCCAACTAGTTACAACTCCTCAATAGTATTTATCTCATTTAACTAATCCGAATAGAACAGTAACTATGAGACAAATGAATGTAGCAAATAAACATGATTTTTGAACTTAAACTGATTACATTTTTTAAACATTATTAATATTCAAACCCCATCCCACCACCCTTCCATGTTATTTTTACACAATAAAACTCATTTAAGCTTTTGTTTCTCTTTCATGAAAATGTTATATCTATGTGTACTGCAAACAAATTAAATGGTTACTAATTCAAAACATTTTTTTTAAAATAATTGGATACCATTTTACAAGGATAATTATATATAACATACCCTTGTGGGCCAGGGTAATTTTACATTTTCAGACTTTCACGTGACAACCTAGACAGTACAGCTCAATCCCTTTTTAACAATAAAGCCAGACACTGCTCATGCTTAAATTTTATAAGGATAATAACAATATAATTATGAATGTAACCTTACTAAAATGCTTACCGTTTTGGAAAAAGATTAAATGCACGAACTCTTCCGTTTGTATTTTGATCTGTTTATATGTATATTAATATAGACTTTTATGATTTATATATCCAATGAACAGTATTATTGACTGGATCCAATATATTGTGATAGTAATTAATTTTAGTATTGTGCAAGTATAATAACCATGTATATATATATATATGTATGATAGAATGGTAATCATTAATCCCCAATAGTCAATAAGTGTTTATTTAATTACATCAATTAACCAATCAAATAAATCGGAGATCTAATAAACAATAAATATCAACCAATAGAAATGCAGTAAAAATAATATTATTTTTAGTTTTTTTTTAAAGAAATTAAATAAATAATGGAATTGAGAAAAAGTGTATGTCGTTAAGGGGTAAATATAACTGTGTTTGTATAATCTTTGTTCGCTCATAATGTCAAAAGAATAAAAATTTAGGAGAAATGTTTATTTACTTTCTAAAGAAGAATAACATGACGATGAGGGGTGTGGGGTTTTAGTGAGGTGGATTGGAAGAAAATCACTGTGATAAACTTAATTTACAGATTAATAGTTATTGAAAATATCATTATATTCTTTAATTTCTTAAAACTAGTCTAATCTATTGAATTGGGAAGTAAGATATTGAAATGGATGGAATAATAACTGGAAAGAATTGAAAAAGATTGTGTTAGGATATAGGGTTGAATAGAGAGTAGCTTGTGAGTGATCTATACTCCTTGACGAGAAGTAACAAGTATACATTGCAACAACAATATAAAAGACGTCTAACCTAGTTTTTAACCAATATTTAAATCCATAATATGTAAGAATACCCAGGAAAAAAATGTAAAAACAAACCAGCGATTATATAAATGTCAAGCATATATATAAATAAAATTGGATTGTATTCAATAGTATACTGATGCAAATGAAATGGTCTGTTTAGCAAAAGGTAAACTGAAAATGTAAGATACATTTCTTTATCAGTAAAATGATGAAATCAATTAGAACATCCAGTTACATTTAGCTAAGTAAGGATTGATGTTTAATGCAAGAACATTAACTGGCATATAATGTAATTTGTTAAGATTGGAAAACAAGATAGAAGGCAATTATTTACTACTTCACAATCATTGATAAGAATTCATGACCTACAGTCAATCAGTCAGCTACAACGTAGGACCAGGCATATATATACATCGATTCAAGTTGCCATACCTCATTACCACAACAAGATCAGCACCAAATTCATAAAAGTAGTTACTTCAATGGTGATAATAAATAAAAGATTGTGTATAAGAATATAGTACAAAAACAAAAAATTAGTTCCTAGTAAGAAAGATATAATGCAATTTTAGTGTCACGGCTTAAGGGAAGATAGAGAGTATATACACATAAACCATTGTGATTATGAACTCATTTTATGCCATATAAGGTATGATTCCAAGAGTTACATTAATCAACAGATTAATATCAATAATTCTTCTTTATACCGTTAACGTACACCTATGAGTTTAACAATTTCATTCATAAATATCCCAAAATTTGAAATGTATACGTATACATATACTAGAACTCTATTCTTGCCATTCAAATTGTTTGGTTACTATGATTAAGCTAAAAATAGTTCAATGGTTAAGATCATGAAACAATTAAAGTTAGACCACTATGGAAAACCTGGAAGCATTGAACAGTCGCTCCGTCCTAGTATGGGACTCCTCGGCAGTGTAAATTCACGATCTCGCCTTGTGAGATTCCAACCCAGAACCTATCAGTCTCGAGCACCACTAGGCCACTGAGCTGGCCGGCATTCAACGGTGTTAATGTCTAACTTCAACGAAATATATTTGTTGAACAGTTTTGAGACCAAATAATTAATTATAATGGCGTGTAATAAAATTTTTAAAAAAAAACATCGGTCAATTCTCGAAAAAAAAATAAAACAAAAAAAAACGTTAGTAACACATTTACCTTATGAAGAGTGTGTGTGTGTGTTTTCTAAATTTTATCGCTGACATATATTTGTACTAGTTCCCATGGTGAAATAAAATAACAAAACGATTCATCCACTCACTGTGCCTAATTTGTCAATGTCATATTGTCTGACTAGTGTGATCGGCTAATTTTTAATCGATAAATTTAAAAATAAATGTCATGTGAATATCATATAAATAAAATTGATTTTTTTGTTTTTACAAATTACCCAACTAAACAGTTTTTTGTAGAAAATTAAAGAGTAGAGGATAGTAAAGGAATCTATGGACGTGCATTTCGATCTATTTGGGACTCGTCAAATGGATGTCACTATTAGTTAGTATTCATATTTGCTTAGAATGTTTTTGAATTAATGCTATACGAGGTAATAAACAGGTCTGAATGTGAATATTAATACGAGGAATCAGGTAGATCGTGTGCACATGTGTTAGATATAATAAAACACACCTTGTAGATTCCACTGTTAGCCACTATCCAAATTTACTCAAACGTCAGTCAATCAACATAAGATGATAATACATACTGAATAAACTCACTAGATTGGGACATCTTAGAGAACATAGCATGCGTATAGAAAAGCCAAGAACGAACAAAATACCTATGACATACAGGCTTTTACAATGACTCATTAATTCTTGGAACCTGCCAGCCGAAGCAGTGGTTTCCACACGTTCAACTGACTAATTCAAGAGTAGACTAGACACTCAGAGAAGCATACTAGAAAAGGAATAACATAGATCGTCGGCGTTCTATTCTTATGTTATAATCTCTTTCTTAAGGTTATGACCCAGCTATTCCTATTGCTTAGTATTCTCGGACACCGATTCACTCGACAAGTCCTCAAATCAAAACACGGTTCAACAGGAAAGAGATTATATTCCAAATAACAAGGTTAGATGGAAGTAAGATGCACAATAGGGAGAAACGTCAGTATATTTATAGTTTTTACATGAGAAGATTCTAGAGTATTCTCCAACTATCGACTAGTGCTGATTGGGTAAGAATTAGCCAATCAGCGTGCACCGAAGCAATCGTGCATTGAGCATGCTTTAATCCAGTCTATGTCCCACTAACACCTTACTACACAAATCTGAATCTAACAAATGTCAAAAACCGGATAATTCAAATACGTAATAATATTAATTAAAAATAATAACAATATGTATAATAACCCAGATTTTCAATCCATATAACATGAAATCAGCAAAAATATCAAACAAACGTATACATTAACTCCTTCTTGATTGAAATCATGAAGCTATTGATGTTAGACCACCTGAAAGCATTGGATGACCGTCTTGTCCTATCGTGGAACTCCTCAACAGTGCACATCTACGATCCCACTCGCAGGATTCGAACCTAGGACCTTCGGTCTCATATGCGAACGCTTAATCTCTAGACCACTGAGCAGGCATCTAACGGTGTTAATGTCTAACCTCAATCAATCCACGAAATTGATCGGCCATCTTCCATTATACTGAGGCAGATACCTCTTTCTACCTGACATAGATTAACATCTTCCTTCTGTTATGAATCATTCAACGTTTTGTTCTTTCTTTTTGATGGATTTTTGTTCTCTGAGATGGATGGTTTGGTTGTGGAACTTTGATGGTTCTCTGAACGAAATCATCAGTACAAACTTCAGAGAGAAGTCATTTATTTCTATATTTCATAAAACTGTTGAGTCATTTCTTTCTTCTATGATAAATGTGAACTAGAAAAGTAAGAAAAGCAAATTTGTTTCTTTCATTTTCAATATGTCGATTGTGTTCAGATAATAATAATAATAATAATAATAATAATAATAATAATAATAATAATAATAATAATAATAATAGCAGTACTAGTAGTAGTAGTAGTAGTAGTAGTAGTAGTAGTAATAATAATAATAATAATAATAATAATAGTAATAATATCTCACATTTCATTTCCCATTTTAGGGAAAAAAATTATAACCCTTCTCTTTCGTTTAGTTTTCAATTGTTAATTTATTTATTATTAACCCCTCACAACCATTTGTTCTTGTATGTATATACTTACGCCTGTTAATCATAATGGAGCATAGGCCGCCGGCCAGCATTCTCCAACCAACTCTATCCTGGGCCTTCTTTTTTAGTTCCATCCAATACTTGTTCATTTTTCTCATGTCTATCTCCATTTCTCGGTGTAGTGTGTTCTTTGATCTTCCTCTCCTACTTTGGCATTGACGATTCCATGTGAGGGCTTACCTGGTGATTCGTTTCAGTACTTTCTTTATTGTGTAGTCTATTCATTTACAACAATTCGTCCTGATTTCCTCCTCCACTCGAATTTCGTTTGTTCTCTCCCACAGTAGATTGTTGCTAATAGTGTCTGGCCAACCGATCCGAAGTATTTTACACAGAACTGTTAACAAACAATTGTATCTTCTGGATGATGGTTTTAGTGGTTTTCCAAGTTTCCAGCACATACAGTAGAACTGTCTTGACGTTTGTATTTAAAATTCTGACTTAGGTGTTAGCTTGTTTACAGTTGTTTTGAGTTCCATATGTTCTTCAATTGTAGATATGCTGCTCTTTTTTTGCTGATCTGCGCCTTCACATCTGCATCAGATCCACCGTGTTCATCAATGTTGCTTCCCAGATTGGTAATGGTTTTTACATCTACCAAATCTTCTCCATCAATTGTGATTGGATTGTTGCATTCTGTGTTGTATCGGAGAATCTTGCTTTTCTTTGTATGTATATAATATTGTTAAAATCTTTGACTATTCCACTCTTCATTATATGAATGACTTTTATTTCCATTAATCGATTATTAAAGAAAGACTTTATTTCACTAATTATTTGAAGTGATTATTATTGTAATTGATAATTATCTTGATTTCAGTAGTATAACTGATTGGGGTATTAATATCTCTTGATTATTTCTCCTTGATAAAGAAAAGAAATTCGACGAATTCCCACTTTATGTTACGTTCAATTGTATTGTAGAGCCAATGAAATGTTATTAAGCCTTAGCCAAATCATCTTGCAATTAGATCACTGAATACCAACACATTTCATCGATTCCCGTCAAGATCAAGCACAACCAACACGCATCACTTATTCGTACACCATGGACTGATTTATACAGGAGTGATTACACTTTCATTTGTACCTACTCTAACTAATATATTTCTGTAACAACATTTTTTTTCGTGTTATGCAGTCTTCAAAGCGGCAATGCGACGAAGGAGTAAACCATGTTAAGTGGTGAACGTGAAATGTGAATATGAAGTTAGCTATTAGTCACACTATGCCCATCTAACTCGAGTAGACCCCCCAATCATTCGACACATTATCAACGTGGATGATCTACAGTATCAATTAGTTTACATGTACGTGCTGAATACTAGAAAATAGGTTAATTTTTCATTTCTTTGAGTACACTTTACTTTTTAATGGTTGTTAATCAGTGATTTTTTCGACATTGATTTAATGGCTCTAATTGGATTGTATATTTGATTGTCATTGAAATATACATATTGATTATCCTCGTATATTTCATCGACTTAAATCGCGTTGTTGAACACAACAGAATTAAATAAGTCAAATACAGTGATTTCCTCTTTCTAGAATAGTCTTCATAAGTATTCTAACTGTTCATAATAGGATATGAAGTATGTTTCTGATAGAGTTTTGTCCTCTGATCTGGATGGTTTAGTTTCCAAATCATATGAGCGTTGTACGCTTCTCGCTAAAAGGCAGGCTTTCACTCGGGAACAACTGTATTTTCCCCACGAGTGTTTTCGTAAGCATGTTCTACCAAAAAGTTTAAGATACAGACCACCAATCAACTGCCCATTGGGATGGAGAGTAGCTGAGCAAAGTGGAATAAAAATGGTACACCTAATGATAACGGATGCACATTACAGGATCCGCACGTACTGACGCGTCATAGAAAATCAAAAGATGAAGCTACAAAGCAAACTCACGTCAGAACACTTGGAAATCTTGACAACAGCCGTCGAAATGTCATGCAAACAACACAGAGAACAAAGAAGAAACATTCTAAAAAAGAAACTGATCAAGATCTTAAAACCATCAATGGAAGAGAACACAAACAACTGCGTGGTCAACCTGTCAAAACAACCACTAAAACATAGGAGAACACCTACTCCGAAAGGGATTAAACTAGAATACAAGTTACGCCCTGATGAGACATTTAGTATACATTCAGTATGTAAATTCGAGCATAATTCCATAGAACATACTCTTGATAGAACAATATATGTTGATAGTGAACCGATCCTAGTTAAACCACCACTGAAAGCATGAAAGCACTGGACAATCGTTTCGTCCTCGTATGGAACTTTTCAACGGTGATCATCTACGATCCCACGCACAAGACTCGAACCCAGAACCTTCGGTTTTGTAAGTGAACACTTAACCTGTAGACCACTGAGCTGGTATCTAAAGGTGTTAATGTGTAGTTTCAATCAATCCACGATATTGCGTGACCATTATGGATGCACATTGCTGAAGATTCTCATACTATGACAAAACGGTCATCCAGTACTTCCAGGTTTTTAATGGTGATCTAACACCAATCGGTTCATAATCTGAATAGAAAATTTAATAATCTCCACAACCCTATACTCATAGTATTTAGTTATAAACATCAAGATGGATTCTCGAAACTTTAATAAAAAGTAACTACTTATTAATTTAATCATAAATAAAGGTTATTATTGTTGTATAAGAAGTATACTATATCATAGTGTAAGTTTATAACTAGGAAAATGTCAGATATCAACAAATGATTTCAAAGAATACTGTTTATCAGGTAACATGAAGTTTCTTGCTTTAATTCCATCATGGTTGAATGTAGCGCACTGTTAAATAACTCGAAGGTATGATGAAAAAGAAGCTACAATGGTTAGCTAATTTTAATAATTATTCATTTATCATTTGTCAATAAAACATTGAACTCAATTTCGTAAGCTTTAAAAGTCACTATATATTTGATCGCTGGGTGGCGATCAATCAATTGTAAATATATCTCAGTCTTATAGGAGGTCATTTGCGTCGCGGATACCTCAGTGGTAACGTCACTGAAACTGGATGATATGAGATTGATTCCG